CGCAGCTGGTCACATCGCACCTGCAGCTGGTCACATCGCACACGCAGTTGGTCACATCGCACCCACAGCTGGTCACATCGCACATGCAGCTGGTCACATCGCACCCGCAGCTGGTCACATCGCACCCGCAGCTGGTCACATCGCACATGCAGCTGGTCACATCGCACACGCATCTGGTCATATCGCACCCGCAGCTGGTCACATCGCACATGCATCTGGTCATATCGCACCCGCAGCTGGTCACATCGCACCCACAGCTGGTCACATCGAGCCCACATTGCCTACACACCACTGGTCACATGGCACCCACAACTAGCCACATTACCAGGAGCAGAGAGCAGTGAATTGGTTGCATGCCTGCTAGTACTCAGCTTGCTCTCTCCATGCTTGTACAATCTGGAATCCCTTGCCTAAGGAGTGGTGGCACTTACAGCGGGTGAGTCTTCCCACAGCAATCCAGGTAGTCAAGGTAAGCCCCCACAGACAAACACACACACACACACACACACACACACACACACACACACACAGCCAATTGAGGCAATCCTCCTTCTTCCCTCTTACCCTTCCTTCCCTGAAAATGGAATCCAGACCTTGTGTATACTCTACTACTGACCTACATCCCTAACCACTCAAAAGCACAAATTATTTAATAAAAGTTTTGATTACTGTGACCATATTAAAATAAAATTGCTAGATAGAGAAATGGTACAGTAGCTAAAATTCATGCGTGAAGACTGGAGTTAATATCCCCAGAAACCATGTAAATCCCCAGTGGATATGGTGGCCTATCTGGGACTTCCTAGCTAGTTAGATTAGTCATATCAGTGAGCTCTGGGAGAATCCCAGCATCAACTTTGGTCCTACGCATTCATGCACATGCAATCGTATAAACATATATGCACACACAATATGCAAGCACACTACAGACGCTTAGGAAAAATAAAAAAGATGAAGTCTTTAGGGCTGAGGAGATGACTCAGAGGGTAACGTGTTTCCTGTGTAAGGGTGAGGATGTGAGTGTGAGTCCACCAAAGTCTTGTAGAGCCCAGCACATTGATCCCAGGGCTGCTACATCAAGATGGAGACAGACACGGGAGAATCTGCCAGAGCTCACAGGCAAGCTAGTCTGGGGTACACTGCAGCAAAGCAGCATCGGACCCACTAGGTAGAAAACAGAGACCAGCACTGTATCCCACGTGTGTCCTCACACTCACAAACACACACACACACTTGGCGTACACACACACGTGTATTGCACACACACAGATTTCAAAAGTAAAGACTTTTTCTTTTTTTCAGTAGTTTTTTTATTGAGTTCTACATTTTTCTCTGCTTCACTCCCTGCCTCTCCTCACCCCTTTAGCCCTCCCCCAAGGTCTCCATGCTCCCAATTTACTCAGGAGATCTTGTCTTTTTCTACTTCCTATGTAGATTATATCCATGTATGTTTCACTTAGGGTCCTCATTGTTGTCTAGGTTCTCTGGGATTGTGGTTTGTAGTCTGGCTTTCTTTGCTTTATGTTTAAAAAACATCTATGAGTGAATACATGTGATAATTGTCTTTCTGTGTCTGGGTTACCTCACTCAAAATAATGTTTTCTAGCTCCACCCATTTTCCTGCAAAGTTCAAGATGCCATTATTTTTTTCTGCTGTGTAGTACTCCATTGTGTAAATGTACCACATTTTTCTTATCCATTCTTTGGTCGAGGGGCATTTAGGTTGTTTCCAGGTTCTAGCTATGACAAACAAAGCTGCTATGAATATAGTTGAGCACATGTCCTTGTGGCATGATTGAGTATCCTTTGGATATATACCCAAGAGTGGTATTACTGGATCTTGAGGAAGGTTGTTTCCTAATTTTCTGAGAAATCACCCTACTGATATCCAAGGGGGCTGTACCAGCTTGCATTCCCACCAGCAATGCAGGAGTGTTCTCTTTACCCCACATCCTCTCCAGCATAACTTGTCATCAGTGTTTTTGATCTTGGCCATTCTTACAGGTGTAAGATGGAATCTCAGAGTTGTTTTTTGATATGCATTTTTCTGATGACTAAAGATGTTGAGTATTTCCTTAAGTGTCTTTCAGCCATTTTAGATTCCTCTGTTGAGAGTTCTCTGTTTAGGTCTGTATTCCATTTTTTATTTGATTATTTGTTCTTTTGATGACCAATTTCTTAAGTTCTTTGTATATTTTGGAGATCAGACCTCTGTCTGATGTGGGGTTAGTGAAGATCTTTTCCCGTTCATAGACAGCCATTTTGTCTTGTTGACCGTGTCTTTTGCTTTACAGAAGCCTTTCAGGTTCAGGAGGTCCCATTTATTAATTGTTTCTCTCAGTGTCTGTGCTACTGGGGTTATATTTAGGAAGTGGTTCCCTGTGTTAATGTGTTCAAGTGTACTTCCCACTTCCTCTTCTATAAGTTTCAGTGTGGCTGGCTTTATGTTGAGGTCTTTGATCCATTTGGACTTGAATTAAGTGCATGGTGATAGATATGAGTCTATTTTCATTTTTCTACATGTTGATATCCAGTTATGCCAGCACCATTTGCAAAAAAAAAAAATCAAATGGGAAAAAGTAAAGACTTTTTCAAATGCCCACCTAAAGATAACCCACAAAACAGGAGCAACATTATAGCATAGCATTGAAAGATTATCACCCCAAATACATTTATAGAAGTAAAAATCAATCAAACAACTCAAACAATGGAACAGATGGACAAGCAAGCACGCCATCTTTCATGATAGACAAAAGCCAGGGTCCATAGTGATCTCAAACATAAATTAGTAATCTTAATATGTTTTTAAAAAAAATTCTCAGCTCCACAATGTCAAGTGTTAGGAACCAGGACTAGGAGGACTTATTCACGTGAGAACGGATGTGTGCTGGAATATCATAGGAGAGTAATTCCGAATCATGATCTATGAACATGGTGTCATCTTCTAATGTACACCCTGGGCTACACCCTGGGGAGCCTCGCTCAGGTGCACAAGGGAAAATGAGCAGTAGGCTCTGAGCTTGGCTAATTGTTACTGAGGAGGGAAGTGTGAACAACACTCATCTCAAAGAATGGCTGAATTGTGGCCCAAGCGTTTATTGAAATACTATATCCAGCGGTCAAACGAGTTATGGCTGGCTACGCTCATACCCGCAGATAGATCTCATATACACAAGACTATGCTTTAAAAGGCTACAGTAGAATCTATACAGCATGACTCCATTTATGTAAAGACTCAAAAACATGTGCACTTAAGGAAATTGGTCAAATAAGGAGCCTTTAAATGTTACTGTATAATTTGTACTTTGAAATATCTGATGGTTGCATGGTTCACTAGCCTCCAAGCTAACAGAAAATTAAGCATTAACTTTGGTGCTAACAAAAGATATCTGCTGTACCAAAACCTTTAAAATTCGTCTACAAAATTGTGGTATCTCAGTAGAGAATTAGGAAGGTTATTCTTGACTGTCTCTAAGGTGCCGCCAGCGAGTCAGTGAGGCATCCTTTATCCTAAGTTCCTGCCCTTCCAGCTGCGGGAGCATGAAGTATTGCCAGCTACCCGCCTGGGCTGGCTGTAACTTTTGTGGACGTTCCGTCTGGCGACTGCATGCCTAGGCCACCCAAGCCTTCTGTGTGGATTGTGACGGCAGGCAAGGCTGAGCGACATGTCCAGGGCACAGATCTCGGCTCTGGTGTGTGGTGTCGGAGGGTTTGGTGCTCTCGTGGCTGCCACTACATCCAATGAGTGGAAGGTGACCACCCGTGCGTCCTCTGTCATAACCGCCACTTGGGTTTACCAGGGTCTGTGGATGAACTGCGCCGGGAACGCCTTGGGCTCCTTCCACTGCCGGCCGCACTTTACTATCTTCAGAGTAGAAGGTAAACGGTAGAACTGTGTTTGGGGCTGGGACAGGGTGCTGCCTTCCCCTTCCTGAGCTGTGTCAGCACGCGATTGACAGCTGCCTGCTTGGTCTGGATGTGCGAGTCTGGCATTTTGTCTATGATGGGTGGGAGCTCTCTTGGCTAAAAGAATTAAATGACTGATTTGGACAAAGGAATTAAGAATAACCTTGTGGATCGGTAGACCTGGCTGATGCCAGAAGGAGACTCCAATGAAATAAGTGGGAACAAAGTGCATTGGCTTAAGACCTGGTGTTAATGTTAGAGGAGTCGGAGAGAAATCTTCGCAGGGGTTCTGTCTTTCATTGAGTCGCCGCCTGAGGATAACACTGAACGAAAGAAATCATTCAAACATCAGAGTGGTTCTCGTGTTCTCTTTTCTAGAACCGTGTTTAGTGATGGATTAACAGTGCCATAAATGGAAGGCAATGCCACGCATGTTCCTTTCTTTCTTCCTGTTTGATTTTCACATGTGTGTTGTCTTCCTCTTCCGAACTCTGCATCTTAAAGAGGACAGCTTTGTTTGGTTGGCTCTTTGGTTTTAAAGGTGTTTCGCACTTTAGAGGCCTCCGGAGAAATGACTGCCATTCGCCTTATAACTTTAATACTCTCCATCTGCCTTCCCTTGCTGAAAACTTCTGCACATGTGCCCGCGGTGCACGCCCATCGGATTAGAAACTCCACCTGAGTTTTGTTAAGATTCAGACTTTACACAGTTAGGTGACAAAACTATACCTTGGCCTCTGGGGAGGAAAGGAAGGAAGGGAGAAAGGGAGGGAGGAAGGGAGGGAGGGAGGGAGGGAGGGAGGAAAGAAAGGAGGAAAGAAAGGAAAATTTTACCTAGAAATTACTAAAGCATATTGTTTTAAGGGGCTTCATGTCAGGCCTGTGCATCATTAGTCCCTAGTGGGTGCCAAGGGGTAAAACAGACTACTTCTATAAAGCCAGGATATAACTCATAACAAGTCATGGGTAAGCTCAAGTTAGTTAGCTCATATGCTAAACTACGCAAAAACTATGCCTTTTTCTATAAGGGATGTATGCATTCCCAGATTTTACTGTCCCCAGGGAATCCTGGCACAGTCTCCTCAGATACTGAAAAATGGTTGTTTCTGAGGATAACACTGCTGTGAGGGGGGAGTAAAGCCAAGCCGGGGTCACTTGGACAGGCGGGTTATGTGTGTGTAGATTCGCCCTAGGCTCTGCCATGCAGTGAACTCTGATATATTTGCAAATGAGTGGGTGGGCGTAGCAGTGGACGTGAGTAGAGGACGTTCAGGGTGAAAGCCATGGCCCTGGGTGAAGGCTGCAGAATGCTGAATGAGTGAGCTACCTAAGGAACGTGGCTGGGCTCGAACTCAGCAACCTGGAGTTGGCCTAACTCATCAGCTGTGAGACTCAGGCTTGAGCAACAACTCTGAGACTCATCTATACTGTATCTCTTCCATAAATGGGGAGAACTGGACCCTAATGGCTCCTCAAGACATCTCTCACCCCAAAGTCAATTCACGAGCCTCACAACACTTAACTGCTGACGTCTCCATCCTCTGGCTCATTCACTCTCATTGCCTCCTCTTCCATGGGGTTCCCTGAGCTGAGGGAAGGGATTTGGTGAAAACATCCCGTTCAGGCTGAGTGTTCTAAGGACCCCCACTCCGTGTGGTGTCTGGCTGTGGGTCTCTGCCTCTGTTCTGTCTGCTGCCAGAGGAAGCTTCTCTGGGGATGACTGGATAAGGAACTGATCTATGAGTATCGCAGAATATCATTAGGACTCATTTTATTGATACTTTTTTTTTTTAAAGACCAGTAGTGTTTGGCTTTACCCTGGGTCTCTTGGCTCTCTAGTCTCCGGTTCTGGGTCACCTAAGCAGTGTCAAGTATGGGTTCCGTCTCGTGAAGTGAGTCTTAAGTCAAACCAGATACCAGTTGATTATGCCCACAAGTTCTAGGTCACCATCATCACAGCATTTCTTGCACACAGGACAGATTATAGGTCAAAGGTTTTGTGACTGTGTTGGTGTTTATGTGTCTCTTTTGATAGCCTTCAGAGTACCTTCCCACACCAAACAGACTAGAATATAGGGATGAAGTCTCCATGAAGGCACTGGTTGACTTCTTCATGGTCAATGGCTTGTATAGGTACTGTCCTCAGCAATGGGACCCCACTGCCAGTTTGCAGAGAGCAATATATTGACTTAGCAACAGCCTGGGTTGTTTGGGGATTTCCATGGGGTCCCCTTGGCCAAGAATTCAATTGGATGCAACCCAGTCATACTACTGGAAGTCTCATTTTGTGGCAAGAGAAGGCCAGGTGGGACTGAGTAAGATTTCCAGCATTTAATCTATGTAGCAGGAATCTCTGTTCATGTCATCAAGCCTTGGCAGAGAGCTGGGTTCCCAGGGAAATGCTTAGGGAACAGAATACCATGTAGTTTTCACGTGTGTTTATGATAGGATTTACAAAGAACCATGGTTTATCTAAGTGTGGACCATGGACAAACATGGACAAACAACACCTATGGCCCCTGAGAACTTTCTAGGAATACACAGTCTTAGGTTTCCACCAAAAGGATTTCCAGGGGCCTTTTACACATTAGGAGTTTTAGAAAACCCCATTTAGAAGCTTGGATCTAGAATTCTGAAAGCCTTCACAATTAGTGAATGTCTTAGTCTCCCTGAACATTGGTTTTCGTGTGTGTGTGTGTGTGTGTGTGTGTGTGTGTGTGTGTGTGTGTACCCAAGCATGTGTGTGCATTCTTGTGAATGCAAGCACACACATATGGCATGCATGTGGTGGTCTAAGGATAGCCCGAGTGGGTGTCAATCCTCACCTCCTGCCTTGAGAGAAGCTCTTTGTGTTTTTTTCTGCGCCACACACCAAGTAAGCTGACTCCTGAGCTTCTGGGGGGAGCTCCTGCCATTGTTTCCCAACTTCTGGTAGGAGTGTTGGGGGACATAACTCCCCGGGGAGTGTTGGGATGACAGACACAAACGCAATGCCTCTGTCTATGTAGAGCCTGGGGATTCAGTTCAGGTCTTCACACTTACACAACAAACACTTTTCCTCACTGAGCCCTCTTCCCAGGCTTCAGTATTCTTGTTCTATGTGATTACTGGACACAAAAGAGGCAAAATACAGGGTTACTCTGCCTGACACAAAGAAGGGTCTGTATAAGTAGTGGCAATTACTGAGAACACCTCTTTCCCTCTTTGAAACCCCACATCTCAACTGTAAGAACGTGTTTCCAACCAAGGCTTTAGTAGCTGCTGTTTGGACCTCAAAGCCACATATAAGCAGGCATCTGATTCCTGCGGCACCTCTTGTAGGGGGAAGACCGAGACAAGGATTCCTATCAAATGACATAGTCACATATGTATCTTGAAATGTCCTGGGACTGTTTAATCAGCCAAGGTGAGACACACGGTGCACCAATGTGGATAATGTGTAGGGGAAAGGCCTTTCCTTCTCACAGACCTTAGGGATGCAGGAGCAGGCACACCTGCAGGGCCCTCTGGGAAGAACGAGATGAACTAACAGGCAGGAGAGGGGAACAGAGCATGGACCTGTGTCTCCTCAGGAAAAAACTGTGCTGGACAGAGCCACTGACTTGGTCATGTTCTGTACTGACTAGTTGAAAGGACTTTTAGTAAGCTCTCAGGCCAGGGGTGTCTAGTTTCTGACATGTAGGAGCTTGGGGTGTGAGAGTTGGTTAAGGAGCAGCTGGGAAATGGTTTTTGACTGATTGGTTAGACAGGCAGGCCTGCAGGGATCATGTGTGGTGTTTGAGAGCCAGCCAGCTCTGGAGAAAGGGTGTGCTAGTCAGCAGAGGTCTTGGGTAAACTACACTGTAGAGATCAGAGACTGAGAAACACAGACAATACTGCGTCAACACTGGACCCTGGGTCTCTGCCCGGGTGTCAGCTGAGCAGAGCTTGGCTATCGCATCCCAGCTTGAGGCAGAACACGCATCTAACTTGCCGCAACTTTTTGCTGACAGATTATTTTGTGTAAGAACAGCTCACATTGAACTTTCCTGGGGTTGCTCACTGCCTGTGCACTGCTCAGCCACCTCTACTGAGTGTCCCTCTGCACAATTCTGTCACCTAGCCCACCAGAGACCAAGTCTCCTCATAAGAGGAAGACACTCAAAAGATAGCTTTAAAAAAATGTTTGGTGTCTACGTTCCTGTATGTGTGCACATTTGCATGCAGACGCACACGTGTGCAGATGTATGCGAGGGCCAGAGGTCAGCAGCAAGTGCCACCGGGAATCCAGCTCTGGTCCTCACACCCACACAGCAAGCACCCTACTGCCTGAGCCACCTCCCCCATCTCCGCTTGTCCGAGAAGCCATTGCATTCGTTCATTCCCAAACTTCCCGCACCTCTGCGTAATGAGATAGTGCAACGCTCACCACAGAAAAGTGTATCGCTCCTAAGTGAGCTTGAGGTAATTAGCCAGCTGGTCTACAATTAAGCCTTTGTGAGATTCTTGTATTATAGGCAAATTTGATTATCAAAGGCTGACAATTGGCAAGTGGCTGTGTTGCCACGTTACGGACACAAAAGGATCTTGCGGGATTTAATTTGTTGATTCATTAATGTGTCCTGTCATCAAAGCCATCACTAGATTCCTGTCATAGACTATCTACTCTGTGTTTCACCGGAGGACAGGACATGGGCCTTTCCGAGGCTCTGTAGCTTAGACCGAGGCAGATGTTCAGCAAATATCTGCCTAGAATGGCTAGAGCTACCAGGGCAATCAGACGCAAGGGACACAGAATTTCTGGAAGAATTGATGCTGGCATCATCTGGAAAGATGGCAGATGTCTGGGAGGGCAAGAGAGGAGGCATCTCAGGCTAAGGTGCCTGCCCAGCCCCTTAATTCTGTCCACTTGGGGCAGAATGCTGAAAGTTCGGGCTGCCTGGCCTATAGAATGGGAGTGTGTTCACGGCTTCAGGGGTGGCGCTATGTTGAAT